CCATGAGTTTGTAGGGTTTCTGCGATTTGTGTTATTGTTGAATTCTAATGTTAATGCATGGTGGTCTGATGAGATGCAGGGGGTTATTCCAATTTTTTGTATCTGTGGAGATTTGCTATGTTTCCTATTATGTGGTCAATTTTAGAGAAGGTTCCATGTGGTGCCGAGAAGAAGGTATATCCCTTTGTATTTGGGTGGAATGTTCTATAGATGTCTGTTAAACCCAGTTGGGTCATAACTTCTATTAATTCTTTTGTTTCTTTGTTAAGTTTCTGTCTGGAGGTCCTATCTAGCGGTGAGAGCGGAGTGTTGAAGTCTCCTACTATTAGTGTGTGAGATTTTATGTGCATTTTGAGCTTTAGTAATGTTTCTTTCACGAATGTAGGTGCCTTTGTATTTGGGGCGTAGATATTTAAAATCGAGACTTCGTCTTGATGTATTTTTCCTTTGATGAATATGAAGTGCCCTTCTTCATCTCTTTTGATTGATTTTAATTTGAAGTCTAATTTGTTAGATATTAGGATTGCTACGCCCGCTTGTTTCTTGGGGCCGTTTGATTGGAAGATCTTTTCCCAGCCCTTTACTCTGAGATAACGTCTGTCTTTGGTGTTGAGATGTGTTTCTTGTATGCAGCAGAAGGAAGGGTTCTGTCTTCGTATCCATTCTGCTAGTCTGTGTCTTTTTATAGGTAAGTTGAGGCCATTGACATTGAGGGATATTAATGACCATTGATTGGTGATCCTTGTTTGCGCTTGATTTATTATTAGTGAAGTTATTTTGTGTAGTTTCTCCTCCCTTTTTCTTTTAGTGTTTTGTAAAGTATGATTCTATATTGCCTGTGTCTTTGTGAATGTAGTTATCTTCCTTGGCTCTAGGTTTTCCTTCTAGCATTTTCTGTAGAGCTGGATTCATGGATACGTATTGTTTAAATCTGGCTTTGTCATGGAATATTTTGTTTTCTCCATCTATGGTAATTGAGAGCTTTGCTGGATATAGTAGTCTGGGCTGGCATCCTTGTTCCCTTAGCGTTTGTAGGACATCTGACCAGGATCTTCTGGCTTTCATCGTTTCCATTGAGAAGTCAGGTGTAATTCGGATAGGTCTGCCTTTGTATGTTACTTGGCCTTTTTCTTTAGCTGCTCTTAATATTTTCTCTTTGCTCTGTAGGTTTGATGTTTTGATTATTATATGGCGAGGTGACTTCTTCTTCTGGTCAAGCCTATTTGGTGTTCTGTAAGATTCTTGTACTTTCATAGGCATATCTTTCTTTAGGTTAGGGAAGTTTTCTTCTATGATTTTGTTGAATATGTTTTCTGTACCTTTAAGTTGAAGTTCTTCACCTTCTTCTATACCTATTATTCTCAGGTTTGGCTTCTTCACGGTGTCCCATATTTCCTGGATATTTTGTGTTAAGGATTTGTTGGTTTTGAGATTTTCTTTGGTTGACGATGCTATGTCCTCTAATGAGTCTTCAACACCTGAGATTCTCTCTTCTATCTCTTGTATTCTATTGGTGATGCTTGCATCTGTGATTCCAGACCGTTTACCGAGCTTTTCTATTTCCAGCATCCCTTCATTCTGTGTTTTCTTTATCGTTTCTATTTCAGCTTTCAATCCTTCAACTGTTTGAGCTGTTTCCTTAATTTTCTTGGTTGTTTTTTCTTGGTGCTCTTTAGATTCTTTGAGAGATTTGTTTATTTCTTGAATTTTTCCCCCATTTCATGGATTTTTTTGTTTGTTTTTTCTTCTATTTCTTTAAGGGATTTCCTCGTTTCTTCCTTGAGGGTCTCCATCATCTTCATGAAATAATTTTTAAGGTCTGTCTCCTCTTCTTCATCTATGTAGTGCTTTTCAGGTCTTGCTGGTGTTGGATCCCTGGATTCTGGTGGGGTCGTGTTGGTGTTTCTATTGCTGAGTGATCTCTTATTCTGTCTTCTTCCCATCTCTTCTTCCAGTGGGTGCTGGTGGGGGCTTTCTGTCTCCACTGGTCTCCTTCTTTACTGCAGCTGAAGCTGAAGCTGGCCTCGCTGGGGTTGGGGAGTTGGAGGGGCTGATCTCTTTCCTGTGTGGGTGGCTCTTCTGAAGCTGGGCTCGCTGGGTTGGGGTCTTGGAGGAGCTGATCTCTTTCCTGTGTGGGCGGCTCTTCTGGAAGCCGGGAGCGGCCCCGAAGATGGAGGGGATGGGTGATGGGCGGGTGGTCCCAGCCAGAGACCCAATCTCACCTGAAGCTGGGCTCGCTGGGTTGGGGTCTTGGAGGAGCTGATCTCTTTCCTGCGTGGGCGGCTCTTCTGGAAGCCGGGAGCGGCCCCGAAGATGGAGGGGGATGGGTGATGGGCGGGTGGTCCCAGCCAGAGACCCAATCTCACCTGAAGCTGGGCTCGCTGGGTTGGGGTCTTGGAGGAGCTGATCTCTTTCCTGTGTGGGCGGCTCTTCTGGAAGCCGGGAGCGGCCCCGAAGATGGAGGGGATGGGTGATGGGCGGGTGGTCCCAGCCAGGGACCCAATCTCACCTGAAGCTGGGCTCGCTGGGTTGGGGTCTTGGAGGAGCTGATCTCTTTCCTGTGTGGGCGGCTCTTCTGGAAGCCGGGAGCGGCCCCGAAGATGGAGGGGGATGGGTGGTGGGCGGGTGGTCCCAGCCAGAGACCCAATCTCACCTGAAGCTGGACTCGCTGGGTTGGGGTCTTGGGGAGCTGATCTCTTTCCTGTGTGGGCGGCTCTTCTGGAAGCCCGGAGCGGCCCCGAAGATGGAGGGGGATGGGTGATGGGCGGGTGTTCCCAGCCGGGGACCCAATCTCACCTGAAGCTGGGCTCGCTGGGTTGGGGTCTTGGAGGAGCTGATCTCTTTCCTGTGTAGGCGGCTCTTCTGGAAGCCGGGAGCGCATATATGTATGGCACCACGTGCATACCTGGTGCCCTCAGAGTTCACAAGTGGGTGTTCTTTCCTGCTTGAGAGCCATCATGTATGTAGATGCTGAAAACCCAACTCAGATCTAGGGACAAGTGCTCTTAACCCCTAAATCATCTTCCCAGATTGTCTCCCTCCTCTTGCCCCCTCCCCCTCTTTGTTCTTTTCTTTTCTTTATTTCTATTTTGTTGTTGTTGTTTTTGTTTTTTTTGAGAGAGGGTTTCTCTGTAGCCCTGTCTGTCCTGGAACTCAGTCTCTAAACCAGGTTGGCCTTGAACTCAAAGAGATCTGCCTGCATTTGCCTTCTGAGTGTTGGGATTAAAGGCGTGTGCCACCACCACCGGGCTTTTTTATACTGGCTTTGAGCTCACTGAGATTTACTGTGTTCTGTGATTAAAGGTTGGTGTCAGCACACTCTGCTCTACTTAAATGCGGATCAGACAAGGGATTCCCATAGTGCTCTGGTATATCTGGTTTACTACTTAAATAAGCCCATCCCGTCTCCCAGTGTCTCAGACTCGAGCAAGTTCAGCTCCTCTCCACTTCTGTTCTACCTGAGCTCCCAGATAGAAGCCTTAGTCTGGCCCAACTCAGGTGAGTTAACCTCGTCCCCATTCTGAGGCTGGGCCCCAAAGGTGGAGGGAAGTTGTAAAGGTTTTGCCCTGTCACTCCTTCTTTGCACACAGAAACTCAGTAACCCCCTGCCAGAATGCCGGATGCTAGGTTACTGGACCGCGCACTCGCCTTGATCCTCTGCCTGCTCTCCAGTCTCCAACGAGTAAGCACCAACCAGCTAAGCAAGCCTTCTGCGACTTTTGGAGAACCATATGGGTAGAAATTTGCCTCCCAGCCAGTCCCTGACTTTTGTCAGGACTTCCTTGTAACCACTGGCAATTAGCAACTTCCTTTCTGTTTTGCTTGGGGAAAGTGGAGGTAGACACCTCACCTTGGAGGGAGGCTCTGGACCCGTGGACCAGGTTGTGTTGTTAGTGGTATCTGGCTCCATCCAGGACCCTGAATGGGAACTTTGACCTCCGTTTTTGTTGCATTTCTTACTTAGCTTCTCATCTGTAAGGCTGAGGAATCTGAGGTCTTGCTTGTGTGGCTAGGCGGCTGCCTTTCTTGTTCCTCCATGGCTGGGGACCTTGGGAGTATCATTGATCCTGGACATGGAGCTGGATGGAGAGGCAGTCTGAGATGAACTGCCTGAGATGTCTGCAGAAATGTGTGAGACCAGTCTCTCTCTGGCATCCAGTCTGGCCTCAAACTATCTATCGAGCCTTGAATGATTCTCCTGCTTTCTTAGGTTCTGGGACTGTGGACATGTACCACTATTCTGGTTTACCCTCACCAGATGTATTGACATTTCTGGAAATTGAACCCAACACCTAGTGTGTGCTGGGCAGTCTCTCTAAAAACTGAGAACCAACTTCCAGTTTTGAAGCTCTGACCTCAGTCTGTATTCTCCCACAGGTTATAATCAAATGTGATACCCTGTAAGTATGAGACTAAGATGGGGATGGAGCGAGGGAGGTAGGAAGGGAGGGAGGGAGGAAAGGTGGTGTGGTCAGATATGTCCTGGATAAGTGGACAGATACCTCTTCCTCACTCTTCCTACTTTTGCTGAAACCATGCCCCCTCTCCTACCACTAATCATTGGCAACTTCATCATTGCAGTTCTGTAATAGCTGCTGTTAATCCCTCATCTTTCTGACCTGGCGCCCCATGCCTACCCTGTAAGATTTACTAGCATAGTCATTCTGTCTGAGGAACCCTGAACTCCTGGGTCTCAAGTCCATGCCTCAGTTCCCCATAATGCACCCGGGATGGATGTGTACCCAATACGCACCAAGAATGTCTTGCAACCTGAGGGTACAGGTGTCTGGGGAGGCAATGACCCTTTGTTCTGATACCTATGGTGCCATCGGTGTCTCCCCATCCCTGTCTGACTTGACCAGTAACTGCCCCATGGGATTCACATACTGTGAAAGTGCATGCTGCCCGGAGAAGGAAAGCATATGGAGTCCTTCAAACGACTTTTTAAGGCAAACCCAGGGTCAGCTCTTCTGGGTACCATTCACAGAAGGCTGAAATACGCTGGGGGTGGGGGATGGAGAGTAAAGGCACTCAGGGAGATATCATTCCCTTCCTAGGATCTTGTTCATCGTCTTCATGGTCATGATACCTCTGTTGTTCATCTGGGGCTTGGTGAAGCACTTCTGTTGCATTTGCAGAGAGCCAGAGCAGAACCTTAGAAGGAATCATCAGATAAATCCAGAAGCACCTACCATTGCTCCCTTAGAGATGATCTGGGTCACCCCCTTGGATCCTGAACCAACCTATGTTCAGGTAAATCTTTCTATCCCAGTTCCAAATTTGTTTCATAGCTGGCTATCCAACTGGTTGAAGTAACAGTTTGGAGAGGGCTACCATCAAAGTTCTTCATTCCTTACGCAGGCCTGAAGCAAACTAAGTATGCTTTTTCCTCCCCTGGCAGATCATCTTACAGCCTGAAGAATCACCTCCTCCCTACAGCCTCAGGCCTGAGGACCCTGGTGGTCAAATGAGATGCACTTACAGCACAGCCTTTTGAGCTACCTCACCACAAACATTTTGGATAAAGCCCATGACTTCATATCTCTGGATTGACTCTCATCTTTGATTTAACTTATTGTTTTTCTCCCCCTGTCTCCTCCCCAACTGCTGAGCTAGATTCATGGTCTTTGTCCCAACTCTGAAGCTAAAGACTGTTGAGGGTGCCTGCAATGGGAAGCAGAGATCATTCTAATGGAATGCAGACCTGGACTGGACAGCTCGCTCTGCCATCCTAAAGAAGTACTTCTGTGTCTGGAGGAGATAGGAGACTGAACTGCATGGACTCCAAGCCACCTACCAGAAAGGACCCCACTGTACCTCCATAGCCAAGCTAAAGTTTCACTGAATAATCTCTAACCACTTCTGAGGCTAAGCTCCTGCCAACTCCTTCCAATGGTGACTGAGTGCTTTGACCACCTGCCTGGGAGGAGTGTGCATCCTAGCTGAGAATGAATGCTGTGACCTTAGGATATCTGGGACATGTGGGCAATAAAGAAATGGACTGGAGAGTTCCCCAGATCCAAGTTTCATCTCTGCTTTCTGGAAGACCGTAAATTGATATGCATGGGACTCTTAGGGAGGTACAGGTCAGAAAACAGGCTTCTGGAAGGCAGGGTAGAAGTCTGGAGAGGCAGGTGTGTTTAGAATATGGAGTGATGCCTACAGAATGCTTCATTCTGGATTCCTCTCCAGAATTTCCTGGAGGGAAAAGAGAGCCAGACCATTTTCTTCCTGCTGAGCAATGGGTGCCAGGCACTGTAGCTTAACCCCGCCTGCAGTTAACCTGATGTTTATAAAGCCAGTATTCTATGTCTAGCCTGGTATCCAGGATGAGGTCAGGTGCAATTCTACAGATAAGTCTGCAGAGAGGCCTGTGTACTAAATCTCATGGAGATGTGTATCTCCTGCTGCACTGGATTGGATCGGTTGTGGCTATCCCCATTCATTGCCCTATGGAATCTAGTTCTGAAAAGACATGAGCACCCACACTAAATACCACCTGTCCCCTAAGCAGGAAGAAGGACCTGCTGTGCCATCCTACATCATGTCTGTCATTTACTGTTGGGAGTAAAAGGGTGTTCAGAGCTGTGGTTTGTAAATAAACTTCACCATTACATTTTAAAATATGTGTGTATGTGTGTTTTTATTCTCTACTTATAAGAGCCAAGTACTGTGTTTCAGTCCTATCCTCTCAACTATTACAGAATCTGAGGCAGGAGGATTATTTTAAAGTCAGCCTGGGTGACTTATTTGAGATCTTATCTCAAAATTTAAAAGGTGGGAGAGGGGCTGGGTAATGTGGTAGCACACTGTCCTAGACCCTGATTTGAGTGCCCAGTTCCTGCCCCAACAATTCTAAAAGGATATGAGCTGCTGGGAGCATTGAGCTGGTCCTTAGATATAGGGGTTGTTTTTCTTCTAGACAGTTTCTCTGTGTATCCCCAACTGTCCTAGAACTCTTGTAGACCAGGCTAGCCTCAAAATCAGCCTGCTTCTGCTCCCCCATCAAGTACTGGGATTAAAGGTGTGTACCATCACTGCTGGTTTAGGATTTTATTTTCAATCTATATTGTTGTGCCTGCATGTGTATCTGTAATAATGTGTATGTCAGAGGAGGCATCATGCTCTAGAACTCAGGTTCCAGTCAGAGCCACAGTGTGGGTGTTGGGAACTGATCCTGCCTGGGTTCTATGTAAGAGCTGCCAGTGCTCCAAATGCTGAACTATCCATCTCTCTAGCCCAGGCTTCTGTGTTCTTTAGCATTGCTTGAGTTTTTTCCAGGGAATAATCCTTCCTTTTGTATATTTGGGAGATTTGTTTCAGAAATTTTTAGGTAGATGTAGAAATATGTGAAGGGCTAGGATATAGCTCAACGGTAGTGTGTTGTGTCTAAATGTACAAGGCCCTGAGTTCAATCATTGTCACTGGAATAAAAAATACTAGGTGAAACTTGATCAATTACAACTGGTAATTTTCAGCCCTGTTTTAAAGACAGGAGCAAGTAAATTGTCAAGTGGCACACATGACATGTACATGACTCTGTGGAATATACACAAAATAGACATGAAAAGTCCTGGATGTCTGTGAACATAGGAAAGGCATTTGATGCTCATGTGCTCAGCCTCTGGGACTCGTGATGGACTCTGGCAATAGACTGGGTGAGAAGAAGCCGGCTGCAGACTGGCTACCTAGGGCTTAGATGACCAACTTGCTAAGGAGTGAGAATTCATTCATTTATCATCGAGATTTAGCAACTCAAATTCATGAATAAATGATGAAAGATAGTAGTAAGTGAACAAAGGAGGAAGTGGGTGTGTAAGAAAATGAATGAGATCTTCCTCCAAGTGTTTGTACAGAAACACACACCTTGGTTAGAATATAGAAGCTCTTTGGACATCCTTAAAGGAGTTCCCTAAGGATACTGAGGGACTGGGGGGCACATAATGAGGAGCTAAGAGAGCTGGGACAGGGAGAAAGCTGCAGGTGCTGAACAAGGCAGAGTCAGGAGGATCTCTGAGTTCGAGGCCAGGCTGGTCTGCAGAGTGATTTCCAGGACAGACAGGGCTACACAGAGAAACCCTATCTAGAAACCTCAGTCCCCTGTCAGCTGCTCTTCTACCTCTTCTCCCCCTCTACATTTCTCCCCCTTCGTTCCCATTCTTCCAGGACATAGCCACTGTGGGCACTGGTGACTTCAATTCCGCTGAAGCCTAAAGTCCATTTCCCAATCTCACCTCTCAGCCTTGGATCCACATGCCAGTATCCTTGCTTCAATGATTTCCCCAAGCCTGTGTGGCTCTCCTCTGCCTTCCTTCTCCCTACAACGCTGGCGGCATCTGCTAAGATGCGGTCACCTTTTCTCCTCTTCTATCACCTCTGAGTGACAGTGGACTTGAGGCTCTATCTATCTTTTGCTCTCTTTTCCTAATCTGTGCTCACTCTCACAGTCCTGGTCATACTGCCTGTGACTTTGTTATAGAACTAATATGCCTTCCCGGTGAGAAATCACTCTGAGACTTAGAGATTGATACAGGAAAGCTGTAATAATAGAGGGTGACTTGTTCTGGATAATGAAACAAATGGGAACCAGCCCTGAACAGAAATTATTGACTAATATCCTCAGATCATGAGGAAATGTGTCAGGCTGTATCAGGCAATCACCCCTAGCCTGATCATGTGTGCTCCACCTGTAGAAACAATACACAGAGTTACTGAAAACAATCGACCCTGCTCCAGTCAAACCATTAAGAAAAAGTTGAAACTTTCTAGTATATTCCAGGTATTTTATACACGTCCATGTCCCCAGGCACTTGGAGTGCACACAGCCTTCATCCCAACGAAGTATTGGAGTTCCTCACTGTTCCCATAAAGCAGCCTCATTTGGTTGAGATTGAAGTCTGCTTCTCTGACTTCTTTTTCTTACAGAAATCCCCAACTGTTTCACAGGGAGATGTAACCTTCAGTTATGTTAGAAGCACAGATTCTTTGTCTACCATTTCTTTTTGGTTTTTCCGAGACAGGGTTTCTCTGTAGCATTGGAGGCTGTCCTGGAACTCCCTCTTGTAGACCAGGCTGGCCTCTAAATCACAGAGAACTGCCTGTCTCTGCCTCCAGAGTGCTAGGACATAAGGCGTACATTTCTGCCAGATACTGTACAATATATCCTGTGTGCTCCTTTAGTAAGTTTAGTAGATCTTTTGGAGCACCCTTTCGTTACTTCTATATTAGTTTCTCCTATATCAGCTTCACAGATTATGTTTTGGCTGGTGAATTGGGGATCTTTATCTCTGGCTAAGACATCCCTGATGAACTCCAGAAGAATTTCTCCACACTGCGCTTCCCCTTGGAGACTCTGGAGGACCCCATGGCCAAAAGTACATTCTGACTTCCTGTTGCTCTTCCCCAATCCATTATTCCTGATGTCTTCTCACAGGTAGGTAGAGCTGCTCAGGTTAAAAACAAACAAAGCCAGGCATTTTCTGGCTTCTCTTTTCCTCATTCTCTCATTCCTCTCAGTTATACCCAATGCAGACCCACATCCACTTCTCCTTATTTCAGAGTCACAGTCGATATTAGGCCACTCCAGGCTATGCAAACAGTTGTCGACAGGCTGTGCACTCGACTATCCAAAGGCTAGGCTAAGGACTCTCTCCTAGGTTTCCAGCTGTGCTGCTGTCTCCACCCTGCCCCCTGCAGTTCATGCCTTGCAACTATATTACCCATGGTCATTACTTTTTAAAAATTTGAGACAGGATCTCACCATTGGTACCTCAGGCTGGCATAGAACTTACTGTATAGCCCAGGACAGCAATAAACTCACAGAGATCCTCCTGTCTCAGCTTCCTGAGTGCTTGGATTATAAGTGTGGGTCAGCAAGCCCCTCTATCTCCCACCCACACACACACACACACACACACACACACACACACACACACTCCTGGGGATTGAGCTTCTGGCCTCAAGCATACTAAGCTTCTACAACTGAGATCATTCCTAGCCCCCATGGCAATCAATTCTTCATTAGCATAAATATAGCACGCACTCCTGCAGTGGCCCACCCACACCTGGGGCATAGGGCACACCTCTGTCTGTAACAAGCAGGACTTAAGGTTAGGTCTCTCCCTTCCAGTCACAGTGACTTTCCAACCAGTGTCATGCTTCTTTCTCAACTGTAAGTGTCTGGGATCACACCCTGCCTCAGGACATTTGATCTTTTACATGAATTTGAATTTACTCCTGATGCTCACACATCTCCATTTCCAGTGAATGCTCACAGAGTGGCCTTTATCACCCAGACTCCAGCTCACCTGTTTCTCTCTGACATTGCATAGGTAGCAGTCACATCCCTTTCCTTCATGAAATTTATTGGTTTCATATGTTTATGGGCTTTGTCCAAGCTCCCTCAAAGATGAGTGAAAGGTTCAGGCATTATGATGGCTTTCCCTGTTACCTGGCAGGATGCACTCAGGCAGCACTGTGGCCAGCCCAGAGTTCTGTGAGAATCACGCAGGTGCAAAGGACCCCTTTAAAGGATTGACCCCTGACTGCTTAAGCTCTTTTCCTCTCATCTTTCTCTCTTACTTCTCTCTCTCACTCTCTCTCTCTCTCTCTGTCTGTCTGTCTCTCTTGTATATTATCTCTCTCTCTCATCTTATCTCTCTATTTCCGTTCTGCACGGGTTGGTTACCCCTCACCCCTCTTTGCCTTCCCTTTCCACCAATAAAACGACACATGGGACCATTGACTCAGGGTTTGTGTCATTACTGGGTAAACCTAGACATTTTAACAACAATGGGGACCTGCCACTGTCACAGGCTGCCCAGAGTATTACTAGCTCCAGTTCATGGTAGGTTTCACACATGGCAATTGACCACAAAAGTCGTGGTCACCTCAAGGGAAAATGCAGGTATCACAGGGAAAGGGAGGGGCTTCTTTGATGGTGGAAATTGATGGAAGCAACAAAAAAAGAAAAGAACTAACAGAGACAAGACCTCAACAAAAGCAGATGGTCCTTTACC